TTAATACTTTTGATCTAGTTGACCTACAAGAGCTTCTATTTTCGGTTGGCGACTATCGGGTTTGCTTTGACAGAAAGATATTCTGCTTGGTCATCGGCTTGCGGTGTAACACCAAGTTTTGGGTACGTTTCTTTTAAGTATTTTAATATTATAGATGTTAGGTTTCTTTGAAGTCTTTTAAGAAATACTACAAACCGACATCTAACTAAGGCATCGGAGAGCAAATTCAATTTTTAACTGTTGCTTATAAGATTACTCGTATGTTTTTATTTTGTTTTTTTTTTAACTATTTACATTGTAGATTTTGTACTGGAGTTTTAGAAGAAGAAGATTGAAAAATATAATTATTTCTCAAGTTTTCTCATCATTGAAAAAGGATTTTGGTTGTATGGAGTGTAAAGCCACTTATACCCTTATAGTCACAAATTAAGAATAAATATAATTCTAATAAGCAAGAATAATATATGCATTATGTGTTTCCATGTTTTGCATAATTAATAAATATTGAACTTTGAGTGACAACTAACCTACACGTTGTGTTTTTCACAAATAGAAAATTAAATGAGCTAAAGTGGATATCTTTACTTTAAGAGAAAATTTTCACAAAAAATCATTGCATTTTGTTTTTCTTCAGTTTAACAACCACCGAAAGAATTTTTTATTTTTGTTTTAACCGCTAAAAGTTTGTTTTTTTAGTTCAATAAAATCAATACATAAACTTTGAATTCTATAAAAACTATTATAATTAACTTTGAATTCTATAAAAACTATTATAATTTGGAGTTTATTCATTTTAACGATTCAAAGAAATTTGTTTTTTCAATTTAACCATTAAAAGTTTGAACTTTTTTAAATAAAAACATCCTTAACCTAAAAAGTAATCTTGTATTTGTTTTTTGCAACTTAATGAAAAAAACTTTAAAATGTTATTTTAGAAACCGATACAAAAATCTCAATGGTTAAATTAGAAAAAAGTTATTTCAGTGGTTAAACAAAAAAGAACCAAACTACAGTTGTTTTTTTATGTAATTTGGCCTTAATTTATTATCTACTTTCTAATTCCTTCCACTTGTTTACTAAAAATAAAAAAATCGGCCAGTTATTCTTATAATTTATAAATAATATTTTAAACATCATACTCATAATTATCAATAACATTGTGAGTAAATTATATCGGTAGTGGCTCCTCCATCAGCACTCCTCCAACATTCATCCGCCATGATCTATCAACCAGAGGTGCTAACTCTCTACAATTACAATATAAATATTTAAATTAACAAAATTAATGAAAAAAAAACTTCTCATACAATTAGGAAAAGGAAATTACTTACTTTAAGTCATGGCTTACAACGAGTATAGTCAATTCCTTTTTTAAATCCATGAGCAGCTTAACAACATCCGCACGCGCTTTCCAATCTAAATCATAAATGTAAATTAAAAAATAAAAACTTTACTTGCAAAAAAGTCAACCAAAATCATCCACAAAGTCAAAGAAAAGATAAAGTTGATAACATTTTTTTCCCATACCAAGACCAGCTAGAGGTTCATCAAGTACAAGTAACTCTGGAGTTTGTACCTGAGTTGGTCAATAACATATGATATTGACCAAAAAGTTAAAAGATGGAAAAAAAAGAGTAAATTACACGAATGGTCCCTGTGGTTTGGGGTAATTTGCATGCTTGGTCCTTAACTTATTTTTTTAACTCGGAAGGTCCATATTGTTTGTTTTTGTTACACGCTTGGTCCCTAGAATTTGTTTTTGTTACACGTTTGGTCCCTATCTTACTTAAAAAGACTATTATTTAAATAGAGAAAATAGTGAGATAAGTAAGGTAATGTAAGGTGGGTAGGGTTGGGGTGTGTTTATTTTAAAAAAATAAATAAAAAATCAAGGGCAAAATAGTCTTTTTAGGTAAGACAGGGACCAAGTGCGTAACATAAACAAACATTAGGGACCTTCCGAGTTAAAAAATTAAGTTAGGGACCAAACGTGAAAATTACCCTAAACCATAGGGACCATTCGTGTAATTTACTCAAAAAAAAAAAGATAAAAGTGATTACTAGTTGAACAGCAAGAGCAAGGCGACGTTTGTAGCCACCACTTAATGAGTTTGGATTTTTATCCAAAGAAATACCATTTAATCCAACCTAACATTTTAAAAATAAATAAATATTTTGTAAACATGAATATTTTATAATAAAGTAAAAATACCGAAGTGATAGCTTTTTCAAGCCGTGTAGCAATAAGTTGTTTAGTTTTAAGGTCAGTCTTCTGTCTAGGCAACCCAAATGTAATTTCATCAAAAACATTATCTGCGACAAAATACCTGTTACACAATAATTTCTTAATTAAATCAATGAATTAAAGTAACACTTAGAAATTCAAAAAAAAAAAAAAAAAAAAAAAAAGTAATAAGTACCTTTCAGGAAATTGAAAAACAATACCAACTCTTTCTGGAGATAGTAACACAGGAGGCTGATTTGGAGTACCGTTTTCAGTGTATCTTTGAATGTAAATAGATCCTGAAGTTGGTTTAGTTAAACCTGCAATAAGCTGTAAGAAATAATTAAAAGAAAAGAAAAAAGTAAATATAAAAAAAGAAAAAAAGAATAGTATGGGAGTTAATTAACCTGTAAAAGAGTAGTTTTTCCACTTCCACTTGGCCCAAAAATCAAGCCAAAACTGTAACAATCAGAGTTGTATTTTACTATTTTGTATTTAATGTTAAGAAATGAAAAAAGAAAAAGAAAAAAGTTGTATTGTATTTGTATATTTGTATTGTATTGTATGTACCTTTTCTCTTGAAGAGTAAATGTAATGTGATTTAGGAGGTTGAGTTGAGTTCCAGGAGGTCTGTATTTAATATCCTTTATCTATAATAATACAAGATGAAATTCAATTCTTTTAAACTACTTACATTTCTACCAATTTGAAGAGAAAAATATGTGTTTAGTTGATAAATGTAACAAAGATGAAATAAAAACAATGGAAAGTTCAAAACGAAATGAGACTTACTTCAAAACATGAGTGGTTGCATGAGACATGAAATGTTTGATTCTTTGTGACCTTGACACTGCTAAAAGAAGAATCAATTGGATAATGTGAATAAGTGAAATGAATTAAGGGTATGTTTGGTAATATGCAATGATATTAATAATACAAGAATTGTTCCCTTCTCCTAAAGATTGGAGTATATTTGATTATCAACATGAGATGTACAATGTACAATAGTTTTAAAACAGAGAAAAAAAAATCTCAACAAGTTCTTCACTTTTTCCTCAAAGAACCCCAAGAGTTCAAGGCTCCAAGACATTCCAATGAGCTCAAAAGCATTGATAAGATTAGGTGATTCTTGATTTTCTTCTGCCTGAAACAAGAAAACTGTTTGATTTATTTGTTGTTTTGAATAACACAGAAGCTAAAAATAAGTACTTTTGTTCCAGATAGAGATGACACAAGTGGACTTTTGATTAATGATTTGTAAACAAAACTGTGAATAAAGATTGTATATGAAAATTGAAAAGACAATTGATCAAAAGGAATCACCCTTTTTAGAACTAGATTGTTCAGACAATTGATCAAACGCTTGGTAGGGATCATTCGTGTTTCAAACACCAGATGATATGAAGTTGTAAATTAATAACCATATAATAGTGAAATAGAAACCTAATAATGTTTCGATTTGTATCTTAATTGGAGATGAAGTTTGAAGTGAACCCCGTGAAGTTTGTTCATGTGACAGACCCTTTGTATGCGTTGGGCATAAAAACCCTAACCTAGGTTTTCTAGATATCAACAAGATAGATGCGAATCATACCTTAATCAGAGAAGGAGGTTGTGTTGGGACTGCCGGAGATGATGAAGGATTGAGTGGCGATGAAGGAAGCAGTGGCGATGACGAATGAAGGACTACAGGGACAAAATAAACTTGTACAGAGTAATTGAAGGTATTATATTGAAGGCATCAGAATTGAACATATTATGGGCAGCTTATCACAAAATTGAACATAGCTTGGTCTGGGGTCGAAGGTAACAGAAAACAGGGAACCAAAATCAGATTAACATTCACATAAACAGATTCACATTCACAGAAACCTGAGAACCAAATCCGAAGCATCAATTCACTGATCAAAGTGAGTGTCCAGATTTTCAATGGAGAAATAAGAACATATTTCATGGTCTGGGTTCGAAGGTAACAGAAAGCAAAGCAGGGGTCGAAGAACAGATTTCGTATATCTCCTATCTAGTAGATAAGAACAGATTCCTGATGGGAAACTGAAGAAACGCGAATCCAGCGAAAAAGAAGAAAGAGCGACAGCAGAAAAAAAAAATGAACGAATGCAGGAAGAAACAAACCTGTAGCTATAGGGTCGAAGGTAGCGCTCCGGCCGGTGGCTTCACAGGAGAGAGGCGATGGAGAGAAGCAGTGAAGCGTATTTTGTAGTATTTACAAAAAGATTTTTATCTGAAACGACTTATCGGAAATCGAATAATTTAACCCATTTATATTTATAAAAAATGACCATTTTGGAATTCCAGAGTAGTATTTCGGACATTTGTTTGGCTTTTTTTTTTTTTTTTTTTCACTATTTGCAAAAATAAGTTTTTTTTAATAAAGTTTGTACCTATAAAATCTAAATTACAAATGTAATCATAAAAATCAACACAAGACTAATAAATATATAAACTTGAATGATTTGTTTAATAGTAATATTATAATGTTCAAATTGTCTATATCCTTATACCTTAAAAAAATATTCGTCAATCGTTTATGATATGATACTGCTCATGGACCGATCTGTCAATCGTTTATGATATGATATTGCTCATGGACCGTTTCTACCTTCTTTAAAATATGATTTTCCGACGATCAACATCTTCAGGAATCAACACAAAAACACCCCACAATCTCATCTATTGTTAATCTGTTGTGATACGTTTGAGGCCTTTTCGAGGGTCATGTTGAAACTCTCATGTGAGATTGCATTGGTTGGTTCCGTACCCTAGTAGTTGATACTCATTAACAGTTTGTAGATGCGGACACTCATACCTATAAACCATTCTTCTTCTTCTAAAAAGTAATCGTTCTTCCGGTGACTATCGTATATAGTCATTTTGAATGTCTTCAAATCCAAAGCACCCAAAAACCTTGGATGATTATTTGGTTTTGGGCCCTTTTAGATTGTGGATTTGGGCCTTAGTTTCTTATTAAACAAGGCCATGAGCTAAATGGTTATTTTACCCTCAAGTATGGATTTTGGCCATAGATTGGAACCCAAGTGTTAATTGGGTGTTATTTTGGTAATGATAGATTAGGGAGTCTTCGGGGCCAGCAACTAGGGATTTCTTACAGTGAGATTCAGCATTTGAGGTGAGTTTCCTTACTAGGTTTATTGGGTCTAAGGCACCAATGTCGGTCCGTATTGATTATACTAAGATGCTAGGAGTCTGCATGACCCTTTCATATGTTATGTGTTGCTACGTATACCGAGCGGGGTTCGATGCTAGGCAAGGCCTGAGGACTGAAACATATGCTAGTATTCATGATTATTTTATGTGTTAGCATGATTATGTGATATAGATTATATGTGTATAGCAGGCGAGGCCTAGTGACAGACGAGGTCTGAGAATAACTGTAACGCCTCATTTCTGGTAAGTAATTTAAATATGTTTTTTTTTCAGTTTTCAAGGGGAACTCGACGAGTCAATAGCCCGAATCGTCGAGTAGAGACGGGATTTCGAGCACGTTTAAGTAGGCAACTCGACGAGTCCATATTCTTGGACTCGGCGAGTCCGTCATTCTGGGTGAAACCCTAATTTCAAGGTTTTCACCCTATTTAAACAACTTTTTGGGCCTCAAGTCAGCCCCCAACACTTCCAGAACACTCCTCTCGAAAACCCTAGCACTCATTTTGGCTTTTTGAGTGTATTATGTGATTCTTTGAAGATTTGGAGAGAAGAAGGAGGGTAGATCCAAAGGAGGAGAAGAAGATCCAAGATCTTGAATCCATTTCAGAGCTTTGTGAGGTACAACTCAAACATTTACTGTTTCCATGTTTGAACCTCCATTAAAACCCCAATAAAGTCATTTTTGGGACATTCCTTGGCTTGTTTATGAATAGAGAGCTTATAAGAGCGAAAGGACATCAAATCTAGTAATGATCAAACTCTAGAAGCTCAGATCCATTGCCTTTATCGAGTCAAATTCGTATGCAAGCCTATATCTACACTTTTAGTCCATTTAGAGCCCTTTAATCAGTTGGATATGCATGCATGCATGTAAAGTTGGAAACTTTACATGTAAAAACCACCCTAGGAAGCCAGATCTATGAGTTGCATGCGTTGGAATCGATCAAAATCATTTGTATGGTGTTTGCATGCAAGCGACTCGACGAGTTGTTCTTCAACTCAGCGAGTTGTTCTTCAGACTCGACGAGTTGTTCATCTGACTCTGTGAGTCACAGTCTGGACGTGTTCATATGTTGAAGGAAAACTCGACGAGTTGTTCATACAACTCGGCGAGTCGGATAAAGTTGGACTTGATGTTAGCATCAAAGAAGAACTCATCGAGTCTTTGCCAAACTCGACGAGTAAAAGCAGGTAAAGGACTAGATTGGATAATAGGGACTCGGCGAGTTGACGGCCCAAATTGGCGAGTCTGGTCAACTGAAAGTTGACTTTAACCAGGGGTAAATAGTCATTTTACCCTAAGGGCGTTTATCAGTACCTGACATAGTGTTTGTGGGATTTGTAGTCGGACAGTCCCGGAGCAGTAGCCAACCAACGTTAGAGTTAGCATCTCAGCAGCCAGCGTTATGAGGTGAGTTTCCTTCCAGTAGGAACGGTTCTATGGCCATAATGTCGACCCGTTTAGTTAGAAGTAGTTCCGGACCTCGGTCCGATGCAGTAGTTAGATTGCTTGATGTCTTTGTGATTCAAGCATGTTTTGTGTTATGTGTTCCGGACCCTGGTCCGATGTGTCACAACTAGGAATTTTGATGCTTTGTAACAACAACAATGATAACAAATGTGAAAGCATGTACGATGCTTATTCAATAACAACAAAACACCCATCAAACACTTTATGCAAGCACATCAAATAGTCAACAAAGAATTGAAAACCCTAGAAATCTCGGTTTAAGTCCATTTTAAACTAGGACTTCCTTATTTGGCCTAATGGGCCAATAAGTTTCCAATTTGACTATTTTGGGCTTAGAAATCTTAAATGGGCTCTAATTGGACCCACTTTCATTTATTTTAATAATTTGGGCCATATTGAGCCTAGAATGAAATAAAATACCCTAATGGATCTTATTGGGCCATAACTAACCTAATTAGCCCTAATGAGCCATAAAAATCATTCCTTGATTTATTTTGGGCTGTGAACCCTCTCGAAAGACCATTTGGGCCAAAAATCATCTAATTGGATCATGATATGGGCTTAAGCATGCAAGGCCCGAATCTTCTTCTCTCTTATCCTTTTCTCGGCCCAAGAAGAAGAAAACAAAAAAAAGGAAATTAATGAAATAAGGAGGGTTAGCCACCTCCTTATTATATTTTGGTCTTCCATGCAACCATCTCATGTTCCCCTGCATCCATCACATCCTTATATCTCTCTTCTCCCTTCTCTTTTCTTCTTCGGCCGAAAGCACCAAGGAAAAACACACACATACTCTCTCAAAAATCTATCTCAAACACATAAGAACTCTCTTCTCCTTTTCATCCAAATTTTTGAGAATTAGAAGCATTCCAAGGAGTTTTCATTCAAAAATCACTTCAAGTCTTGGTAAGTTCTTACTTAAATCCAAAGTTTAACTTCTATACCTCATCAAAAATCATCTTTTAATTCATGCAACTTCATGATCATACTCCTTAGAAACAATCTACTCTCAAGGACTTCTAAGGAAGCTTGTTAGGTTGAAATCTTCTCTCAAATCTTCATCAAAACCAAATCCAAACCTCAAGGTGAGTTCATACCCCTCTTTTTCGGTTTTTACAAGTTTTATGGGGGAGAAGACAAGTAAAATATGTATATCTATGTGTATGTGTGTGCTATGTATGATTTTATGCATGTATGTGTGATTGTAAGTGTTTATGTGGTAAATATGCAACAAAAAAAGAAGAAATCTCAAGATCTATGACATAAGAAGGAAAACAAACATGATCTAAGGTATACCACACTAAACAAGTCAAGAAAAATACCCTCTAAGATTTAAAATAGACATATTGTAACATAAAACAAATTTTGGGGCTTAAATTATCAAATAAACAAAAGTTGGGTAAAAAGTTGCTATACATGGTTTTCTTGAGGGTCAAAAGAGTCAAAACAGTTAAAATAAATGTTTTGTGACAATTATGCTCTTCAAAGGACTTGAAATGTAAATAATAGCTCAATGGGCCAATTTTTGGGCTTTTCGGCACATTAAGCCCAAAGTTGCGAAAAATCTGATTTTCAAAGGGCTAAAATGAAAAACTTCTCAAAACAGGGGATAAAAAGGTAAAAAAAAAATTATTTCAAGGTTTAAAATGTGTTTCTTTCCTAAAAAGGACCAAAAATGTAAACTTTTTGGATTTTGGGCCAAAATAGTAAAAAGTTGCAAAAGTTTGGGCTTTGACCGCAAAATACTTTTCTAGAAGGGCTGAAACTGTCAAAGAATAAATTTTGGGCTAAAAATATCAATTGAGTAAGTCTATAGGTCAAATGTATCAAGAAAATGATTTAAGGCCTTAAAATGTATTTTTTTTTATATAAAAGGGACTAAAATTGTCATCTTTATTAAAGAAGGGCTAAAATGGGTCAAACCAACTTTTTGAATCAATCCTTTTACTATCAAGATGTTTGAGTCAAAAAAAAATACAAACTACAACTCTTGAAGTTGAATATATATATAATTCCAAGAATCGTTAACAAACAACCGAGCGGCCTCGTGTCAATCCAAAATAACAATCGTCCAATCAAACCTTCCAACAATTATACAATTCCTAAAAACAAGTAAACAATCCAAACTTTGGGCTTAAAAGTCCAATCATGCTTGTTGGAGCCTTCGTGATCCATTAACATGATTTTGGGCCCAATGAATAATAATAAATGTTTTTGGGCCTCCTACGGCCCAATTTCATATTTAAGGGACCCTCAATGGTTTTTAAGTGCTATTAGGCCTTGGTGACCCATTAGTACTGCTAGTAAGGTCCAAGTAATCAAATACAGGTCGATAATCAATAGTAATCAAAGTCAATTGGGATTTAGTGAGTAATAACAGGTGGCACCAACGTGTGCTGGTCGTAGTCTGTAGTTATAATCAAAGTCTCCTGGAGGGAGAGCGAGAGTTTGTGTATAGATCTATACGGGGGTGACTCCCCCACACCTCAGTTGTTCGCTATAGTTAGACTCGACCATGCATGGTTATAACGACTCACATAAATAAATCCAATATAAATCAAGTAATCAAGGTAATTCAAAATCATTCATGTGATGGATAACCATTTAAACCGTTATATGATATTTTTATTTTGGAAAACATCGGGTTTTCCAGGGAAATTCAACATTTTCACTTGTACATTTAATACAAAGTTTTTCAATTATACATGTTTTGAAATCATCATGCATATATTTACGGATCTTCACACCTTTTTATAAACAATGGTCTTTTCAGAAAATATCGGATTTTCTGGATTGTTTGCGTTCAAACTACACAAAACATTTTCATATCCAACCTGCTTATGAGCTCACCAACATTCCATATGTTGATCATTTTTCAAAATAACTTGTATTTTCAAGTAACAGGTAAGCTGAGGAATAAGTACCAAGTATGTTGGTGTGTTTTGCTTTTGAAAACTATCAAACAATTTATGTATAGATGTGTAACGTTAAACAATGTACTTGATGTGAACAATGTCAGTTGTAATATATTGATGCATGGTGATGTTTATGTTATGATTCATGTATATTCATTGTGATGATATTCAATTTAAGTCATACGAGCCCTCGGACATTTCCGTCGTCTGGTTCGGGGGTGTGACACGATGCAGTATGCAGTATCTATATTCATGCTAGTTGATATGTTTATGATATGTTATGATTCAGTCAGTTTCAGACTTCGGTCCGATGCAGTCA